GGTGAAACCAGGCTGCCCCTTGGAGGCAAGGACACTGAGTCTTCATCTGACATTCTTTGGGCATGTTGTAAGGAAGGATGAGTCCTAGGAAAGGAACATCATGCTTGGAAGGGAGGGATAGTGCAACAGAGGAAGACCTTCGATGAGATGGATTGATTCAGTGACTGAAGTTATGAGGGTAGGTGTTGCGCGCCTTGCCTGTCCAGCAGGAATAAGGACACAACACACCAGTGATTCCTTCTCATGGCGGTTTACTCAGGAGTTAATTACAGTTAGAGAGAAAAACACATGGAGTCCTTCTCCACCCTTCCCGGGTGCGGCTTATATCCCCTTCTCGGTACTCCGCCCATCAGTCTCATGTGTCATGCCTCCATTGGACCATTAACCCCACGTGAGATCAAGCCATTGACCAATAGAGACACAGTGCCCAAATAAGGTCTTATTTGTGATTAAGGCAAACAAAGAGAAGCAGGAAATCAGCGCTATCTTGTAATGGCAACCGCACACGGCCTTCCACAGGTAGGTGTGTCAGAGACAACGAGATTGGCAGAGGACAGAGCAGGGTTCAGGGTTGTTGTACATAAATAGGGACCATGAGTCACGAGTGACTCATCAACAAGAACTAAAAAAAAAGTTATTTTATATGACAAAATATAAAAAAAGTTTGTAAATTTTCATTAGATCATTAATACATTTTGTTCTATAACATTATTCTCAATACCCAGAGTAAATGCACTTTCCCCACTTCCTCTCTATAATTCTGACTTCCATTAATCTCTTCTCTATCTCCCTTTTTAGTTTATAAAGATTTATTTACAAAGTTTGAATACATTGTTTTTCACAAAAGATCCTTCCCATTTCCTTTACCCCCTGCATCGAATTGTGCAACCCTATGATTAACACTCTACCCCACCCCCTGCCCATCCTCACCCTCTGCTTCCACCCTGCCCCTCCTTGGATCCTCATATGCATTCTACAATAATGGCTTAATACATTATCAGTCCTTGTGGGACTGAGTTAGTTAACTCAGCACAATGCTCTCCAGTCCCTCCCAAGTCAGGCAGTAATTTACAAAATCGTTGCTCGTGGGTGCTGCCTAGTATAATGTTATCTCCCTTTCTTTAGAGATAATATACTGACCACTCCCTCATGGTATATTACCTTTCCCTTGTTGTTGTTATGTGCCCTCCAGGCGCCTGCGACTCATAGCGACCCTATGTACAACATTCCTAAACTCTGCTCTGTCCCGTGCCAATAGCACCGTCTCGGACACACCCATCCCAATCACCTGTCACTGAATCAATCCACCTCATAGGGGGCCTTCCCCTCCTGTGCCATCCCTCCACCCTCCCAAGCATGATGCCCCTCTCCAAGTACCGGTCTCTCCTTACAACATGTCCAGAGTATGTTAGATGGAGCCTCAGAATCCTTGCCTCCAGGGAGCCCCCCGGTTTGACCCTTTCCAGGTTGAATCTGTTTGTTTTCCTAGCAGTCCATGGAACGAACCCTCAATACTCTTCTCCAGCACCACAGCTCAAAGGCATCAATTCTCCTTCTACCTTCCTTAGTCATTGTCCAACTCTCTGATGCATAACAGTGATAGCAAAGACCATTGCCTGTATCAGACACACCTTAAGTCTCCAGAGAGACACCATTGGTCTTCAGTACTTTGGAGAGGTCCTTAACAGCAGACTTTCCCATGGCAATACGTCTCCTGATTTCCTGGCTGCTGGTGCCGAGTGTTGACTGTGGAGCCAAGCAAACTGTAGCTGTGAACAATCTCAATCTCTTCACCATCCATCCTGATGCTGCCAGTTGGTCACGTCTCTATGTATTTAGGGAGCTCTGGTGGCATACTCTTCAGAGCGGTGCTAACCCAGTGGTCTCTGGTGGTTGAAATCCATCAGCATTTCTCCATACAGTGATTGGCAATCTTCTATGCAATTTACACCTTCTCAAAAACCCACTGGAGGGTTAGCTACTAGTCTGTTCCAACTCATCAGCAATGATTATATATTACTGATTTTCACTCCCTCCTCCTTTCTATTCTTCCTGTCCAACAGTGATATTGGGTGTAAACTTTTCTTTCTTTAGCTCTTTTTAATAGTGGTCTTACACAATATTTGTCCTTTTGTGACTTATTTGACTTCATATACTATCCTCTAGATGTTGTTGTCTATCAAATTGTTTTTCACAGTTGCCTTACTCTATTGTGTGCATTTATCAGTTTCTGTATACATTTTATAACAATCACTATAATCACAATATTGGACACTTTTCTGACTTGCTCCCTGTAATTTTCGTTCCATTAATCTTACTCTATTCTCTACCCACTCCTTAGCTCTGGTAGCCTAGTGGCAAGAAGTTCTACTGCATTCCTGAAGGGATGTGGTTCAAGGTCATCAGCTGCTCTGTGGGAAAAGGATGGGCAATCTTTCATGTGAGTAATTGCCTCTGAAAACCCACTGGAGGGACAGCTATGGGTCGGTTCTGGCTCTATGGTACACAACTCCTTTCTTGCTTCTCTTTTGACCATATGTAGCTGGTCATTCTAAGGAGTATTACTGGTCACCTTCTAGGTCTACCAGCTGAAAGTTGAGCCACAGGGTGAGTTTTGTTCCAGGTTCAAAGGGTAACTAAGAACAATTGCCCCTAGGAACCCACCCGTCTCTCTAAAACCAGGAGGACGAGGCTTTCTTGTTTTTGCACTGTTTCATATCTCCCCTCACTCTATCCAGGATCTTCTACCATGTTTCTTTTGGGAGCGGTCTCCAGTGGTGTCTCTTTTGGTCTCTGTGTCATGAACCTGAGGTTCACGTGTCCACTAGTGCTTTGGACTAGTAGGTTACTATGCACCTTTGCTTTGCTCCCTCTTGTTTTGGACAGGGAGAGACCATGAGTTGCACCATAGATGTTTGCTACCATTTAAGAACTCAGGTGCAACTCCCTGAAGTAGAGTGGATTTTAGTAGTTTTACTTTAGTAAAACTTTAGTAGTTTCAGTAGTTTTACTTTTTCTTCTGGGCACTCCTCTAGCTCCCTGAAGTTGGTGAAGGCCACGAAGCACACATTGACCAATGACATAAGAAAGTCTATGAGGTGGGTCATGTTTAATTCCTAGTATAAGACTGAAAATGTTCTTTCTCTGTCAGTCACAGACAGGAGAAAGCTCTGTTTATATGGAGGTATGATGCTGAGTCACGACACACAGACGGGCAGCTGTCAGGAAGCAGAGTGCACTCAGTGGGAGGTTTTAGAGATACTCTGTGCACTAACGGAATGGCCTTTTAGGAGTGACTCTGTTTTGCTCCTTATAATATCAGACCTCAAACTAAACGGCACCTAACAATAATCACTGTAAGTAAAGTGATTTCATTCCGAGTTCCTAAAAGTAATCAGTTGGATTTAGTCTAAAAAGTTGAATTTTAAGATCATTGGTAGATACCAAACACCAAAAGGTTATCCATCTTTGCTTGCTTGGTAATGCCAGATTTAAATTAAAAATACTCAACTACATTTTGAGCAAAATAATTTTATTTTCTAATACATAGTACAGATATACATCCAATGTGTTTATTTTACACATCTACTCACAAATGACTCCCATATTTTCTAAATTATAGCCATTTTGATATAAGTATGTACCAGGTGGTCTTCACTGAGATGTGAAAAATGACTTTTGACAGCATTCTGAACGTAAAGCATCTGTCACAGCAGAATTCACTTAGTTTTATCAATGGAAAGCTTTGAAAAGTTACTACATTTGCATCTAATTTTTCCAGATGAAAAGAATGCAGCAGTTTAAGCTTGTATTCCAGAGAAATTAGTTTTTCTGATGATGGAACCACATGTCCACTGTATTCGAAAGGGAAAAAAACAAAAGACCAAATTAGATTGTGCTGAACAACAAATGAATGAAAATCCAACTTTTCTATAAACTTTTGTTAAAATTACAATTCAAATAAAAAATTAAAAAATAATAAAAGAATTCCTGATATGAACACTATGATCCTAGCAGCTTCCTCTCTCCCCTTTCCCCTCCCTCTCCATATTATATACATGTATTATATATATATATTATATCACGTTATATCACATAATATATATTATAACATGTATCATATCATATTAGTATTATATATATACCCTTATCCCTAACCCTAACCCTGAGGCCCTCGGCCAGGTTCAAATTGTTTTCCTGTCAAACATTCTTCTAGGTGGTATAGCACTGGTCTGTGCATTGCTGTAGAGGTAACTCATGGTTGCTGTGATGCTGAAGGCTGTGACAGTGATGTGCCAATCGTGGTAATGGGTATCCATGGTGGACAGTGGTGGCTGGAGCTTCCCGACTAAATCAAGCCTGGAAGCAGGAGCGGCATCCACTTCCGAAATGGCTTGCCTCCGGAAACTCTATGTACGAACAGTGCTCAGGCTGTTCGTTCATAGGGTCGCTATGAGTCGTCTACGACTCGACGGCACCAAACAACAACAACATGCTAAGTATATATATTCTCCACATACACACAAAAGCTTTAATGTCATTTTACTGAAATACAGATCTTACCATCTGTTGGTATTGTACAGGTAGATTCACATGGTGGTGGTAACTGAAAATAAAGTATTAAAATGCATTAGTCTCATTCCAGGAAAAAAGAGCTCAAAAAAGTACACAGACATGAAAACAAGACTATCTAAAAATCATTGATAATATACAGGAACTCTGGAAGGTTTCCTCTGCAGCTAGACACACGAAGACTTAGTCTTCTGGGTTTTAATGACATGCAGGAGAATAACAATCTTTTTAAATGAAATAAAACAATTTTATGCATAGATAATTTTTATATATTCACATAAATACACAATGTGAACAAAGTGTTCTTATAGAAAAGTTCGCTAACTTGATCACTGGTTTCTTATTTACCTCAACTTTAAATGCCAAGGTTAAGATATATAAATATAAAAATATAAATATAAAGGGAGATCATTGATAAATTATCCTTTTTCTTGTTTCAATTACAAGGAAGTAAAAAGTCAGATTTTATTTTTCTTATTTAAGTTATAAATGAGAACAAATCAATCTTTTGGCTCATCCAAATCAGATAATAATAGCACAAAACCAGAATCATTAGTATTATGAACCTTATCTACAAACATACCAAAAATTTGATAAATACTTCTTCCATCTTTACCATAATCAGGCCAAGTAAATGCCTTTTGGTTCTTTTATGGCTTATAAAAGGCACAAAGACACTCAGAACATTCTGGGATAATTTTGAGTTTTAAAAATTACACTAGTATGCTACCTGTCCCATTTATAGCTGACTAGGACCACCCCTCAGCTTTCCCCTTCAGATGTTGATTTATACATTTTCCTGGCTTATAATTTAAGACTATACACAGTTATGTGCATATAAGAGGCACTCAGATATTTTTTGAAAGCAGCACTTGACTTTGCACTTAGTACATTTTCAGCCATCAAGTGTTTTTGTTTTTAAAAAAGAAAAACTTCTACATACAGCATCCACAATGGCCTTGGCAGCATCAGGGTCACACTTGAAGGGGCTCTCAGACACTGTTGTGTTCATGCTGTTAAAGAAAGCAAATGTTGTCATGAGCCATAGAAACAATGTTTCCCACCTTACAAGAATAGTTGAAAGATTTCTACTTAAAAAGTCACATTATTTATTTTGACAAGGTGGTCACCTCCACTATAATGTTAGCAAAATACTTTAAGTTCAGGTTTAAGAACCTAATATTAAATACTCTAATTCTCACTGAAGTATCTGAGAAATGACTCAACAGCATGCATGCACATGCGTGCGTGCACGCACACACACACGCACACACACACACACACACACACACACACACACACACGAAACTAATATGTAGAGTGAGAAAATTCTAAAAGTATAGAAAGTCACAAAATGAGAGCCAATCACTTCCTTACAAAAGGCAGCTCCCAAGGTAAGCACTGTTTATAGGTCCTGTGTGTCCCTCCCTTTTCAACACCTTCAACTATACAGATGCTGGGAAGTGTATATAATCTGCCTAAATGGCTTCATATTAGACATACCACTCTGAACATTGCTTTTTCTAATTTTTTAAAATGTGCCACATACTATCTCATTATATGGACATATTTAACATGCTGATTTAACTTTTTGATATTATAGATGATACTATAATAAATATCTTTATACATACACAAAAATCTCGTGTCCATTTATTCTCCAACTACATGTGTTCTTGGCATCTCTGCTTGCGCTCTGGGAACTACCTGTGTGCAGTACACACAGTGGACTTCCACTAACAATCTTCTGACAACTAATGAAGCATATTGTACTGACTAAGAAAATAAGCTTAGGGGCCAGACTTGAGTTTTTGTTCCAATACTTATTGTTGCACAACCATGTTTAATCTCCTCACAGCCCAATTAGGTGCCCAGAACACAGTAACTACTCATAAACATGTGATTCATTTTAAAGGTAGTAAATCTAGTGCACAGAGCAGATATACTGATTTAGTTGTGATGAGCTTTACATATTTGTCAGAGAGCACAAACTCCCCCTCATTTTATCCTCAACTCTCTGAGGATCCTTCTCTAGTTCCCTTCATACAACATGATCTCACTGCCTCCCTTACAGTTTTAGACTGCACTAATTCCGAGATAGGGAGCTCTGGTGGTCTAGTGGTAAGAATTCACACTATAACCCCAAAGGCACGAGGTTCGATTCCACCAGGTGCTCCACAGGAGAAGGATGAGCAATCTCTTCCTGTATGATTTATGCCTCTGAAAACCCACTGGAGGATCATCTATGGGTCGGTTCTGACTGGATGGTACATAACAACAACATTCAGAGATGATGTTATAGGTATTTTTCAGCTATACAGATTTTATTTTTGCACGTATTTGAGCACTGATTGACAAAACAGGTTATTAAAGAGTTATTAAGAGTCCAGTTATTAAAGCTCTGAAGCAAGCAGGCCAGCTTTGTGCACTAAGCATACAGGGAAGAGAGCTTACCAACTGATTCCTTTCCCATCTGTCTTCTTAGTCACCAGTGCTTTCCAATGGTCATGAGTACTTTTAATAATATCAGTTGCAAAATCCTGCAATTTGAAGAGACATGCCTTATGATTACTGAGACGTGTTCTTTTCCTATTAAAAATTTTGTATTATCAGTATTTCCAAAACTCTGATTCTGTCCATTTTGTATCACTTCCTTGGATCAAACATCAAAGAGCATTTAAATGTATGTCTTTGGATATTTGTTTGATGGATCGCATAGACTTTAGATAGTAACAACCAAGTAGCAATGTAAATAGGCCTAAAGCTATATACCAGAGTAATATTTCTTACCTTATCTTTAAATTCTGCATTGAAAGCAAACTGGTTCTCTGGTTTTCCATCAGGAACCTTATACCTTCTAAACCAGTCCACGGTAGCTTCCAGGTAGCCAGGCTTTAGCCGTTTGACATCATTAATATCTGTGAATAAGCATATTACAAGATGCCTTAAAGAATAATCAAGTACTTCTTATTTTTTTAATTTGAAGGATGGTTTCAAAATCATATTTGGTTTTTCATTCAATCGTTCATGTATTTTGCTTCATAATACAGCAATTCTAATTAACGGCCTATTCTGAGAAAGCTGTGAGGTGGCTTAGCAAAGAAGTTTACAATTCTGAAGCCAACTTCCCTGTTGAAAAAGAACTTTAAAAAAAAACCTTTAAAAATACACTTTAAAAAAAAATCTAGCATCTCAGAAGAAAAGCACCAGCTGTCCACCTCACAGTGTCCCAATGTGTGTCAAAGTGGAATTAACTCTGCTTCTCCAGGGTTCCCAGAATTCTATTGCTAGGCCTTTCTTCTGAGGTGCCTTTTGTTTTAAAAAAAAATTACTTTTTATTTTTTTACAAAGTTTGAACACACTGTTTCTCACACATATCCTTCACCTCACTAACTCATCAAATTGTGCAACCTAATGATTAACACCCTCTCCCCATCCTCACTTCTCTATTTCTATCCTCTTTCCCTGCCTTGGATCTTCATACTCATTCTACAATAATGGCTTTATACAGTATTTGTCCTGTGGGACTGAGTTAGTTCAGTCAGCATAATGCTCTCCAGTCCCTTCCAAGTTAAGTAGTAATTTACAAAATGATTGCTTCTGTGTGCTGCATAGTATGCCACATTGTGAATGTACCACAACTTCTCAATCCATTCATTTGTAGTTGGACATCTGGACAGCTTCCATGTTCTTGTGATGGTGACTAATGCTGCTATGAACATTGGTGGACAAGTTTCGATTTGAGCCTCAGTTCTCATTTCCTTGGGGCATATTCCAAGCAATGGAATAGCTGGGTGATATGGAATTTCTATGTTCAGTTTTTTGAGGAAGTGCCAACTGTCTTCCAGAGTGTTGTACCATTGTACAATCCCAACAACATAGAAGAATTCCTTTCTAAGGACAGGAAAGACAGACAAATGGAAAGAGAACACCTTGGGAAGAACTGGGAAGAATGCTGTTACATCGGAGACACTGCAATCAATGTCACAAAACCAAATGTGGTTGAACTGCTGAACGGAAAACCAACTAGTTCTCTAAGCTTTCTCCCAGATCACAACAAAAAGTTCAAAATAAAATAAAAACGCAGATGAATTGATAAAGAAATGCAGTAGTATACAAACAATGACACAGTAAATAAAAACCAAAACGCTCCACTGCCAGAGAGCAGGTTCTGACACAAGGCATTCCATCAGTTGTTTTTCAAGGCTGTATGCAAACTGACAAGGAGAAGACTGCCTTATCTTCCTTCCACAGAATAGCTGGTGGCTTTGAACTGTCAACCTCTTGGTTAGCAGCCCAACAAATCATCCTCTATACTACCAGGGCCCCAAATAGAATATTGTTGTTATATGCAAGTTAAAACTGACTCATATCTAACCTTCCAGCGAGTTTTCAGGGGCTGTGAACTGCATGGGAGGAAACTGTCCACTTGTCTCCCGTAGAACAGCTGTTAAGATTTGAAATGCCTGCCTTCTGAGTTGGCAGCACAGCTGCTTATCCACTAGGCCACCAGAGCTCCCTAATGAACTATTACTTTCCTAATGAAATTTCATTACATCTCATAAAAAAGTTTTGATACATGCTACAATTCACACAATATACTAAGTAAAAAAAAAAGAGAGACACAAAAGGATAAAATATTGTATGGTTCTGTTATTAGGTGCCATTGAGTTGTAGGCGACTCATAGCAACTCTATGAACAAAAGACCTGAGCACTGTTCATACAGGTTCTGGAGGCAAGCCATTTCGGAATTGAATGCCACTCCTGCTTCTAAGCTTGTTTTAATCGAGAAGCTCCACCAAACACTGTCCACCATGGGTAAACATTAGCGCATTTGGCACATCAGGGTCACAGTGTTTAGCATCACAGCAACCACGAGTTACCTCTGTACAGCAATGCAACAGACCAGTGCTATGTCACCTAGAAGAATATTTGACAAAAAACAATTTAGACCAGGCCTGAGGACTACGGATTAAAATCAGCCACCTTGGGCTTGGTAGCATAAACTGTATGGTTCTACTTATATGAAATGTCTGGAGAAAACAACTCCACAAAGAAAAAATTTAGATTAACTTTCAGGGCCTGAGAGGTGTGGGAGTGATGGCTACTGGATATAGAGGGGCTTTTTAGGGGTAGTAGGTAATATTCTGAGTAAGATAATGAGGATGGTTATACAACTTAATATGCTGAAAAACAAAACTGTAAACAATGGATTGTACACTTTTAAAACAGTGAGCTTATGGTATCTGAATTCCATCTCAATAATAAATAGCCAGTCTGGGGCTATTTCCAGGCTGGGAAGATGAGTGGAATGGAGGGATTCTGCAAAGGTGCTTTTTCTGGTTTGGGGTTGAGACTAAGGTGTGACGGTTGCTCGCAATAGGGTATGAGCAGATGGGATTTGGCCTCCTATTTAAAAAGGCTTTTGGGCCCTCGGGCCTGCTTTTTGTGGATCTCCCAAATAAAACAGGCTTGGGAGCAGGAATGTCATACACTTCCAAAAAGTGTGCCTCTGGAAATTCTATGAACTTGGAGAAAAGATGTAAAAGTTTTATGTTCAAGACTTTGTTCATTAGGGTCACTATGGGTGGTCTAGGACTCTATGGCACTAAACAAGAGAGTTAGAGTTAAATGAGTAACTGGAAACTACGAGAGCTTTTCTTTCCTAGAATGAAGGCCAATGTGTAGTTAATCATGGAAGTTCAGCCATAGGAGTAAGAATGTTGTGTGAAATTATGAGCAGTTTTCTTCCACCACGCCTTTCACAGTTTAAAGACATGAGTTTATAACAGTTTGTCTTTAGGGGTTAAGTTTTGGTGGCGTTTCAGATTTAGGTATAAAGACTTCAGATGCTTCAAACATATTTCTTACCATTATAATTGGCTGCATCAGGATCATCCACATTAATGGCAATGACTTTCCAGTCGGTTTCCCCTTCATCAATCATAGCCAGTATGCCCAAAACTTTCACACTGATTATTTCACCTCTTGCACACACCTGAGAATCAACCACAATCAAACAAGTCAAGCCAATAACCAGAGTCAAGGAAGAAGTTGCCAAGAAGTTTTACTTTACACAAAACAGCTAATAAGGAAGTGGCCCAGTTTCAACTTGGATTTAAATTGTTCCTTAAAGCAAATGACATCAATATTCCTATGACTGAAAATGAGATCTTTTATAATCGATAAGTTTTAATAAAATACTAACGCAATTCACTTTCTAGATTTGTATTATGCCAAAGAATAAGGCTCTCTAATTTTAAAAAATAATTATAGGTTATATTAAAACTGATCGCCACTGAGTTGGTTCCAACTCCGAGCTGATTCTCCAGAGAACTTCTGAAGTTTGTCAACAGCACTGGTGGAGATTACTCATCTGTGTCCTGCAGAATCACTGGGAGATCAAAATGCCAGGAGTGTAGCCTTTGGTTAGCAGTGCAACTCGCTCCAGACGTGTTACTAGAGCTCTCTGTTCTCCAAAATATATACTATACATTCTAACCACGAATCCCATTCGAGAATGGGTTATCTGTGTTCCATTAATGAGGTGAAATCAGCGTGGGGTGTATTTTAATTTACTTTCTTTTAAAATACAAACTAAAAACCTAGATTGCGTTGAAGAAACTTTGACGGATTATGGACATTATTAGACACACTTCTCATAAGAGCTTAGAAGGAAGTTAAGGAAAACTATAGAGAAAATCTATTGTCTTAGAGACATATATGGTGCCTGCAGTATGTGGCTAGAAATGTGTATGTGTTTAATGAGTTTTTGGTATAATTTTCAAGAAAATAATGAACACACTGGAGAATGGACTTTGGACAATGGAGGGAAGGCAATGCTTTTAATGCAGTGCCAGAGAATTTGTCTGAATTCTGTGCAAATGTCTGGTAGAAGGCAGATTAATCAGTGATAATTCAGATATCTGGCTGATGACATTTCTAAAAGAGAACCTAACAGTTTCTCCTTGTCACTTTCAGTAAAGTAGAGGAAAGAGACTTAAAAAATGAAAAAAAGCTTAAATAATTGGGAAACTTGATTGGTAAAGCAAAGGATAGAACGTTTACCAAAGATGTGGCTACACAATCTTTTGGCAAAGAGATTAAACCTGTGAGAGAAACTATGAGAGTAGAAAACCTATCAGCTTAGACTGAAAGGGACAGAAATGGCACGAAGAAAACATTGTTTCTTGGAATTCTATAGAAAATGACCATCCCTGAAGCAGCATAGAGGTCTGCAGATTTACTGAAAGGAGTTCAGCAGGCAGAGCGACCTCAGGCTCAAAGGGAGGGGCTTTAGAAACTCAGTTCTGGAACATCAAGGGGTGAAATGTTAAAGACTGAATTCTGCCCCCTCAAGATACATGTTGTAAATCCTCATCAGTATGACTGTGGTTAAAATGACATAAGGCAGGATTACCTCAGATTATATTGAGTTAAGTTCATGTGAGATATAAAAAGAAATTAAAGAAGCAAGCTAAAAAGTTAGAAATGGGCCAGAGTAGACAGGAACAGAACATTTCCCCCTAGTGTTGGCACTCTGATTCAAACTCCTAAGGCAGCGCTTAAGGCCTAGTAGTGTAAAGAGGTGCACTACTACCACAAAGACAGGTGGTTCTAATCCTCCAGTTGCTCCATGGGAGAAAGATGGGCAATCTCCTCCCTTGCAATTTACAGCCTCTGAAAACTCACTAGAGGATCAGCTGTGAGTTGGTTCTGACTTGATGGCAAATAGTAATACACATGGTAGTCCTGTTATAGCAACACTAAATGACTAAACATTTGGTTTCTTTACATTTTAAAGCAGTACAGACACTGAACGAGCTTATAGCCGTTTATTAAATTCCTACTTATAATGACCCCATAGGGCAGACTAGATCCACCTCTTAAGGTTTCCAAGATTGTTAGTGCTTTTAAGGAAGCAGAAAGACAGATGTTTCTCTCAGAGTAGCTAGTGAATCCATATTTAATCCACTGTGTTACCAGGATTTCTTGCCACTGAGTGAAGTCCTACACCATGGCTTTAAGATCCCTTGTGTCAGTCAGTATCCATCTGTTGGAGTCACATGGCTTGAGATACTTCAGGGATCACTCCAAATCATTAATAAAATTTGTCTTGTATCAAGACAAAACTAGATTCTTGGTACCTAATCCAATTTCAAATTAATAATGAACATTAATATACATCTTTTAGACTGTTGTTGTGTACTGTAGAATTGGAACTGACCCTCTGGCAGGTTTTCAGAGGCAGTTAATCGCACAAGAGGGGACTGCCCATCCTTCTCCTGTGGAGCAACAGGTGGCCTCAAACTACGTGCCGTTGGAATTGCAGCACAGTTTCTTGCCACTGGGCCATTAGCGGCTCCTTTTTTTAGACTAGGCTTCAATTTTATAAATCATAACATAAATGCTAAAAAGATTTTAATTTATCATCCCAAAACATATTTTTTATTCATGTTTATATGTTCACAATGGTTTTAAAAGTATAGACTTTGTATATTTCACAAATATCACCATAACAGTGAAGGGAAAAAAAATTTTGATTTTATTACCTTGCTTCCAATCTCACACACGTCAATTGGATCATTGTCACCACAACAGCCAGTGTGTTTGTCATTGTGTCCTGGGTCTTCCCAAGTCTAAAAAAAAAGAGTGTTAGGATTTAGCATCACTACTGACAAAGTGTTTATTAGGCTTCCTTTGACATGTGGATGGATGGGAGTATGTGACTAGGGCATGTTAGCCTATATCCACAAGGGGACTTCTTAGTCTCGTCACTTAAATTAGACAGATTCAGCAGTAGAATTTGAGAACTTCACCACAAGTAAAGCAGCAACAGCAGCAGAATGCAGCGTGTTCTTCGGAGCCAGAGATTCATATACCGTCCAGACTAGGGCCACTGGAGCAGCAACCTGAACAGTCAGCAGAGAACCAGAGATCCCACAGCACACAGGCCTGGCCTTCCTGGGGACTGCCACTCCCATGGACCACAACTAGGAGCCTTTGCCCGAGCTTATTGGACAGTCTGGAGGGTGGAGTGAGGAGAGAGCCAAAACTGGCAGGACTGAGAGCTTTGTAACACTGGCCTAAAGCTGAGAGACTCATGGCTAAGGTGCTTGCGTGAACATTTTGGAAGCTGTCTTGACTTCTGTTACTAACTTTAAGCCTTTTGAGCTCCTTAACATGGTTCTGTGGGGTCTGTGAGCTATTGCAATAGATTGTGGACCCAGTAAAGCAGTAAAATTTGTGCTAGGGAGCATCAGAGACATGTCTGACCTCAAAGGAATTGGTTTTGTGGTTTTTAATGCTGGTTACAGGGACAGTTCCTCTTTGTGGAGGTGGTAGAAGTCAGATATTAAGTGTGTGTGTGTATATATATATATATAT